ACTGTATTATTACTATTTAATTTGTTTTAAATGTAACCCTTTGTAAATAAAGCAATACTAATTTCCTTAAAGGGATAGTTCACCAAAAAAAAAAAAAAAACACAAATTATTATTATCATAATTTTTTATTTATTTTTTTTACATTTCACCATTTACTCACACTCAAGTGGTTGTAACCTTCACGAATTGCTTTCTTCTATTGAACACAAAACAAGATATTCTGAAGAATGTTGGAAAAAGCCATCGAAACTCATAGTAGAAAAAAATAGAAGTAAATGGTTGTTTTTTCAACATTCTTCAATATACCCTTTTGTTCAACAGAAAAAAAAAGACACACAATTAGGTTTGGACAGCCTAATGTCATGAGGAAACGTAATTATTTTACGCTTTGTCAGTTTAGTGGCTAATTCGAATGAATTTGTATGAGTTCAGTTGTACGAAAATCTACGATTTTAAAAAGGAGGCGTGGCCCCTTCTGAATCAACCCAACTGTTATTGGGGGATAAGCAAATCTCACTAAATTGTATGAATGAGATAGCACGAATTCATACGAATTGGCCACTAAATCAAAAAGTTACAAATTGTGGAGGATGCGTCAGTGATGACAGTCAAAATGTTTAATGAAGTCAAAATAAAAACCTAAAAAATATCCCTTTAAAAAATATTATGTTAACATTCTGGAATAGATTTATTTAATTCACTTTATTGATTCCTTTTATTGAATACCTGAATACCTTTCAAGCAGTATTCTCTCAACATTACTATAGGATTTTTTTTTGTAGTTAATGTGTATAAAGTTCCTATTAGTATCTAATCTTCATCTGTATCTTCGGTTTTAATAATGTCAAAAATAAGTTCAAGAATCTTGGTGTTATTCTGGAGTCAGATATGAGTCAAAGCAGTAACTAAATCAGCATACTATCATCTCTAAAACATTGCAAGAATTAGATTCTTCGCTTGCAGTGAGAAACTTGTTCATGCTTTTATCACCAGCAGAGTGGATTACTGTAACAGCCTCCTCATTGGCCCAAAAATAAAAATAAAATCAGAGCACATCACACCTGTCCTCTACACTAGCTCCCAGTTACATTCAGAATAGATTTTAAAGTATTATTACCTGTCTATCAATCTGTAAATGGCCTAAGACCCCAATACATTACATATATGCTCACTGAACAGAAACTAGAAACTCCAAGGGTTCAGTCAAAGCAGCTACTATGGTCCCCGCTGCTTGAATAAGCTTCCAGATCAAATGTACGTCCGACAAATCGCACTATTGTCTCTATTTTTTTTTTCTCATTATTTTAAAACTTGTTTTAACACATGTTAATCTGTTTTAATCATTTTTATTCTTTGTTTTATTCTCTTGTACTTGTCTCTTTTATTTCTCTTTATGTAAAGCACTTTGATATGCCACTATGTATGAAATGTGTTATATAAATAGACTTGCCTTGCCTTATACTTATCTTCCTTTTTTTCTTCCTGATTTTCAGGTGCAAAAAATATTTAATTGGATTTACTCAATTTTTTAAGGTAACTGGTTGTAAACAATTTATGTGGTTGGAATTTAAACAAATTAAATTGAGTAATGTTCAGCTGAATTTGTTTGTTTAAATTCAGCCAATTTAAATTGTTTGCAACCAGTTACCTTAAAAAAATCCAATGAAAAATCTGCCTTCTCTCAGAAATCTATTTAACATTTACATATCTTCAAAGCAGCAGCCATCCTGAATGGCTGGCTTGTTGGATAACGTAAAAGAAATACAGAGCGAGGAGTGAGAGAGAAACAAGCGCCTCAGAATACTGATGAGTGTCAGTGTTGAATAGAGAGACATCAGGCAGCACATGAACGCTTGTGTTCTGACACCATTGTGCTTCTTCATTCACCACTAAAGGCCAGCAGCTGCACGGCCAGAGCTACATAAATTAGCAATAGTCAAGGGGTGGAGGAGATGCTTGTGGGTGAATTTCAGTTAAAGCCAAGTTGTTTGTAATTAAAACAAAGGCCAGAAATAACAAAAGAATGTGCACTGGTTGGGTAAACCTGCTGTGGATGTGACTGGAATTTTGGCCTGAGGATTTCTGTGGCATTTATGTTGCAAACAGACAGCATGAAATTTGCCTGCGGCTCTACAGTATGTGGTTATAAATGAAAGGAATGAAGAGAATGGGGATTACCTAAAGCGGTTGAAAAATTATCAATTAATAATAACATGAAATAAACCTTCTCTAACATTCACAGAATTATTCTACCATCTCCATTTTATGTATTATATGCATAAAAGAAATATAATAAATAATGCAGAGAAACACACTTGTCAATCATTTGATACGTTTAATCATGTGAAATGTTTATAATTGTTATGTTTTACCACTAAACTAGCACTCTTTGTGCAAAATAGACCACAGTACACAAATTAAACCCTGGTTTACATGCAGACATCAAGAGATCGGTACATGTTACAAAGATCTAAACAATTTTTTTGTTGTTGTTTCATTTCAACTGATCTCCAATCAGTGAAACTGCATTGCAGGCATTTTCCATAAAAAGTTCCAAGTTTAGATGGCATTTTCTATTCATCCTGTCTGCATATAATTAAGGGATTAAGTGCACCCGTTGTTATAGCACATAATTACACAGCTCTCTGGATTACTTGATTCTGACTGGCCAGTCGCAGCCTTTCAAGGTATGTTATTCCCAGATAACAACTGTTGAAAATAACACAGGCTCATGTGGGTACTTTGAATCATCTTGGCCCTCAGTAAATATGTTCACAACTACAGTATATACAGTTTTAGCCCCCTTGTATACCCCCCCATTAGTGTTAAATGGAAATAATATTTTTAATAAAAATATTTCTAAACAAAATAGCTTTAAAGGGCCATGACACCCCCCACTTTCGGTTAAAGTCTACTTCAGAATTTTTTCAATAGATGCATGATTAATGGGCATGGAGCTCCGTGAGCATAGGGCAGGAGTGGGCGTGGCCAGCAGGGGAGAAGGGGAGCGAACAACTGTTGTCGACAGTTAGCTCACAAAATGAGACAAAAATCATGAGGAGTCGCATGAGTTTATAGTTCACAAAGTTAAAATGCAAAGAAATAAACAGTAATTTAATGCCCTGCTACATTTGGTATTCGGAATTTCATATACACATAACCACAATTTATATCATTATAAAGATAAGTGTGTTCATGTAAACACTATAAATGAGGATTCTCCCTCGATCCCCGGGTCTAAATTATAGATCTGAATGCAGACTCAGTGCAGCAGGTCTCCTGACCTGTCTATTTTAACCATTAGCCCTGCTGGTAATCTGGAGGATTTAGGCAAACACCACAGCACGGCGATGTGTCTGAATGTGAACGAACTCCTGATAAAAGTCAACGTCCGCCATTCTTTAATTCTCGTGCTGCTCTCCCGACAAAAATGCTTGCAGCACACACACAGCTTTGCTGTATGATCGGCCCTGACAAGATCGCGGGGAAAAAACATGCAACAATCCCAGTGGATCATGTAAACAAACACATACGAGCCTTCATGAACAGCTACTGCGTGCCGTGGGTCATTCTCACAGCTTGCTTGAAACTGGCAGGTCTGCCTTCGGAAAGCACGTGCTCTCATGAAAAATTAAGCAGCCGGCTCTTCTCATAGGATAAGAAAACTCTGCTATGAATAATAATGAGAAACCGACGCGTCATTATTGCACTTGCAGTACAGCGCTACGTCGATGATTTTGATCCCGCCCCAAAAATCATTTTAAACCCGGAAGCTGAAATTAGCTGACAAAAGCTCAAAATTATCCAGTTTTCCCCCACAATTAAAGCTGACAGGTGCTAACAATGTCTTAACTGATGCTCAACACACACACACATCTGTTATATCTGTTAATATAAAAAAAGTTCTCCAGGGTGTCCTGAACCTTTAATAACTCATTTCTAATGCCAGATTTATTTTATCTTTGCCATGATGACAATAAATAATAGTTTACTAGAGCTTAAAGCTTAAAGTGTCATTTAAAGGCTTAACTAGTTTAATTAGGGTAACTAGGCAGGTCAATGTATAATGATGGTTTATTTTGTAGACAATTGAAAATGAACATTGCTTAAGGGAACTAATAATATTGACCTTAAAATGGTTTTAAAAAAAACTGCTTTTATTCCAGCTAAAATAAAACAAGACTGTGTCCAGAAGAAAAAAATAATAATATAGGACATACTTTGCAAAATTCCTTGCTCTGTTAAACATAATTTGGGAAATATAAAAAAAAAAATGAACAGGAGGGCTAATAATTTCTGTATATATGCTGTTTGGCATCTTGTGACTGAAAATATGTCAGTGTATGCTTCAGCCATTTTGGTTTCTGTCAGCTTTGCCTTTAGATGCAGAATTTATAACTATTTCAGCTCAGAACAGTGTTTTATGTCTATATTTATGCATTTTGTGACTGGTAGTGATGTAAAAAGTGGGATAAAGTACATCCAGGTGTTTTTGTTTTGCAGAATAAACCCTAAAGACAACCCTGCTTTGCTGATGATATGCCTACCGGGCTTTATTCTGCGATAACAAACACCTAGATTCACTTTATACCTTGTCTAAAGTAGTGTTTATTAGTGCAGCACTCTTATAGCATAATTGAGATTGTTAAAATATTGGAAAGAAAAAAAAAACATCACTTTGGTGTCACATTTTAGAATTTGGTTCAGAAAAAATGTACAATAGGCAAATGTTTACAAACAATAAGAACATTTAGTTCTTATCACTACACAACCATTGGTAAAAACACCCATTAAATACAAACTATAGTAAAGTAATTTATGAATTTGTTTTTTTTAAGTGGATTGAACATAAAACAATTTAGTTGCTCTCAAGAAAAAAAAAAACTCAAGATTTGTGTTGATGCAGCTAATTTAAAATAACTAGTTTGAACAGACAACAAACATCATGTTTTGAGTGTATGTAAACAGATACACAATATTAAAATTTCTGCTCTCCTTACCTGCTGCTGATGCTGAGCGTGTGGGTCGTGTAGATCCACTGCGGTGTAAAGCATTCTGGTTATTCTTGGCTGTCACATGGTTGATTACAGCTGGGGCCTTTAGTCCGACTGAAACTGTGCAAAAGAAGTCAAACTTCATGTTTAGAGAGTGTGTTGTGGCCGTTTCAGTGATTGAGTTTGCAGTATGAGAATGAGGGTTTAAATGGCAGTGGGCTGGACAGGGTGGGGTTAAAGACGGCAGTTTATTCTGCAGATTATTCCAGTTTATTCCAGTCTTTAGTGTCACATAAATCTAGGGATATATATATATATATATATATATATATATATATATATATATATATATATATATATATATATATATATATATAATTTATTTATTTATTTTTTTCTCATTACAGTGGAACACGGAAGCAGAACACGGCCAGCATGTCTGTGTCTCAACATTGCCATAGCAAACTGTGAGATATGAGAACTTGGGATTGCCGGGTATTTTAAGTATTTTAAGGCGCTATTTGTTATTTATATCAGATTTTTTTATATTTACTGTTGCACTAAAGTCCAAATGTGAAGAATTTAGGTTATTTATTACTTGATAGTTCAAGCTACCTCACTGAAATGCTGTTTGTTAAAATAAGGTGAATTAAATAAAAAATCAGGAACATCCTGAATCTGTTTCTTCGCTCTTCTTTATTCTTTTTTATGTATTATACAAGTATCAGATCGGGTTTGCTATCAGTAGATACTCTAAATCAAATGACTCAGTCTCAAGGGAAAAAACCTGATCAGGACATCCCTACATGAATCTCAATATTTTTATAAACAGTAAAACTTTCATCTTTAACATATAGAAAGCTCGAAAAAACTGTATCTTTTGTAAATCTTTTGTGATCTCAATTTACTCACTGTGCCTCGAACCCACTTCAAAAAACGATGGGATCAAGCAATTGCTGATCCTAAACACTGAAACACTACCAATTCACATGAGACTTTCCGTGTTTAAGTCCGTTTTAAAGACCTATGCATTTTCTCTTGCTTTTAATACTTATTGATCACTGTTTTTTAATGCTTTTACTTATTTATTGTTTCCTTTAATATTGGATTTTCTTCTCTTCACAGCATTTTATAAAGAATTATTATTAAAGTTCAGAGATATAACTTATTTACCTTAGGAGTTTCCCTAAGTGAGACAGTGAAAGTAAATGATACCATGAAAGTTTTAATAAAGTCCTTAACACATTAATTGTGTTTATTTGTTGAGATTCGTATTAAAATCAGTTTTATTTGTATTGTGCAAAGTATATTTGTAAAGTCTTTGTGCATAGTATATATTGTGAAAAGAGGGAAAACAGTAAATCATTGTACGAATGCTGTAATGTTTAAATAATTTTTAGTTAAAGATGCGTGAGGGTAGAATGAGTGGCTGGACATCCTTTTAAATGTATAAGAGAATATAAGAGAAGTTAGAGGAAAGTTCATTCAGTACAAAATAATACATAGATACTACCACACACCATCCAGACTCTATAGGATGGGACTAGCTGGAAATAATCAGTGTTGGAAATGCAATAAAGAAGAGGATACATATTTTCACATGATCTGGGAATGTTGCTAAGTTTACCAAATCTGGTGTAACATTTTAAGAATAATGAAGGTGTGGCTGGGCTGTGAGCTACCTGTAGAGCCACAGCTATGCCTTCTGGGTGACAAACTAGTGATACCTCATATACTGTAAGTAAAAACTCCTTTATTCTTCTCAATATTAGATGCATTACAGCTGCTAGGTTGATACTATGTAATTAAAGAAATTAAAGAGTAGATTAATGGGATGATTGAAATTGCATCGTACGCGTGTATGAGTGGTTCCCTCTTTCGGCTTCTTATAACTTTTCTTCATCGTCATAGAGCTCTTTCAGCATGGTTTTGAATACCTATTCAAACCTATTCCTGTTTGCTCTAGGATTTTTTCCAGCTGTGGCAGCAGGTCTTTTTTACACAGATCTACCAACTACCTGTGGCCTTAATTTTAATAACAAATGTCGTGAGTGCAGTACTACAAGACGAGATCGTATTTATGTAAAAGTCTACGAGCATGCAAATCTCTTTGCTTGAGCGCCGATTTCCTCTGCCCGTGCACAAAACTTCTTGCACACCCTCAAATATACGCTGCTCAAGCGCAGATCTTCTTGTGCGCTCTCAAATAAACACTGCTGAAGTGCGATTTAGTGCGTTTATGTATCAAGTATGTCTCCAACATTTATTAGATTTGCTAGGAATATTTATGAATGTCTCCAATAGACCTACAGAGCGTTATTAATGCATCCTGGAGTAAAGTGAAACAGCTACGCTAAGCTAACGGTTAAAGAAAAGTTTGCGCTGTTATAATTCACTTACCTGTTACTACGTTTTGGTGGAAGAAGGAATATAGCGAAAACCATGCTATTTCTATTTGTCAATTACCATTTTTTATTTATTTATTTTAACTGGCTTAATTTTACCCTTACTTAACCTTAAATACAAATATGGTTTATTGCTTTTCTTGGTTTGGAAATTTGTTTCATGTATATGTATTTATGTGTGTATGTGTACATACATATTAATTAATTTATTTTTTATTATTTTTATTTGTATTAGTATGTCTTTGTTATTTGTTATTTTATTGTCACTATTGTTGCTATTGTTGGCACTATTATTAATACCATTAACTTAATAACCATTAAGCAACCTGTATATTGGTTATTACATGTATATCTATGCACTTTGCTATATGCTGATTGTCTACGGCATGTTTTTCTTTGTTAAAAAAATACAAAATAAAAGCTTTGATGGAAAAAAAAAAACGGGTGAGGGTCATGTGACCATTAGGAGGAACGCAGCATCTAATTTCTTACAGGATGCGTTCTGTGTTTTCGCAGTCACCAGAGTCGTTCTTCCGGTGCCTCACTCTGCTAAACATCATTTGGGAAATATTTAAAAGAGAAAAAAAAATCACGGTGGGGCAAATAATTTTGACTTTAACTGTACAGATAATTTCATATTTTATTTCTTTCTTTATATAAATCAATTGGTGCCCCATAACATACAATATTATATTTGCATTTGCTCAAACTCAAAATCTGTTACATTTATAATGATGTTTTAAGGATATTCCTGTATCATTTGCATTTAGCTCTCTTTAACTTTCTATATTAAAAGATGTAACCTAATCTGCTTCTGCCAGATGCTGTTGGCTGAACTCCACAAACACCTACAATGAATTAGACCATTACAATCTTTTTAAATCTCATTAAGAGGGATATATGGAAGTAATCAAAGTTAGGTTTTATTGTTTAATGCAGAATCATCCTTAAATGGGCTGCTAATTGCAGTATCATTAGCTTAAGACAATCAGAGCTTTCTCACTGATTAACGATCAAAGAAAATGTAACAGCAAGAGAGTGAGTTTGCCTTTGAGGTTGTTTTGATGTGTAATTAATAAATGATGAGAGACAGATGAGCATGGACACTGGTAACAAAAGCAAATGAGGGGGTTTGTCAGAATTGGAGGAATGAAAAATTGTTTCTGTCACCTGCTGCTGGTTTGGTTGTTGTGGAGCTCGCTCTGCTGCGGTGACCTGATGCAGGTTTGCTAACAAGAGACTTTCCTTGCGTCTGGGATGTGGGTGATTGTTTAAGAGATTTCTCCTCACTCTTTGGTACTTCAACAAGAACTGATCAAAAAAATAAAGGAAATGCATTATTAAACAACATTTTGTGTTAATTTCAAGAAAAGCTTATTTTAAATATCAGTAAATAATAGCATTATTTGATTTTAGAGAATATCTATATTTTGAGGGTATGTATTTTTTTGTGTGTGTGTTCATATATTTAAAATACAATAAAATCTACAAATTAATTTGTGGTTTTTAACGCTTGTTTTCTGGATGTTGCTCTAGGAAATAATAAAATAAAATAAATGATAAAAATAAATAAATAAATAAATAAATAAATAAATAAAATAAGTAAACCAAATAAATAAAATAAAATGAAATAAAATCCACAGAATAATTTGTGCTTTTTAACACTTGTTTTTCTGGATTCTGACAAAACAAAACAAAACAAAACCATATTAAATTAAATTAAATTAAATTAAATTAAATTAAAATCCACGGATTAATTTGTGTGTTTTTAACACTTGTTTTCCTGGATTCTGCTCTGATAAAATAAAATAAAATAAAATCCACAGAATAATTTGTTCTTTAATTTTTTGGATTCTGACAAAACAAAATGAAACTAAATAAAACTAAATAAAATAAAATAAAAATTCACAGATTAATTTGATTTTTTTTATTATTGAATATGCTAAAAATAAAGTCAAATAGCAAAAATAGCAACAAAAAGAAATTGGCATCACAATCTGCATTAGTCATCAGCCAAAAACATTCACTAGGAAAATAAAATAAAATAAAAATAAAAAAGACTAAATATAAACTAAAATAAAGCCTGTTTTCTTTAATTCTTTAATTGATCCAGCATGTTCACAAAAAATGAGATTACACTCACAATCCGTTAGACTCAATCCTAAACAAATAGTCAGAGCACAACGGCACAATTACTCTATCAGATTATCACTCAAATAAAGGGCTTTTGTGATAATACAAATGGGCAATTTTGTTTTGAATTTACCTTGACACCCCTTTTTTAGTCAATAGTTAAACACATTGACATGCATTCCCACTGAGCCTAGATCTCATCGCTCCAAGTTAGCATGACAACTGAGAGTCTTGATTATTCTTGAATGTGAGTTCAGGGAGTGGGAATAAACTCATCATGATGGTGAGAGGCAGTTGTGCGGAGGATGCTGTGATTAATGTCTCCGACACACAGCCCAGGAATGACAGAGATTTTATTGTGTATGAATGTTGCTCACAGTCACTGTTAAACTCTGAGCAGATGTGACCTTTGCCCCAAGGAAAGTCAATAAGGGCAGTGGAAGGCCTGAAGATTTCAAGAAAGCTCAGGGAGAAGGAGTGAGATATCAAATGATAAAGTGCCTATTATGCTAATCACTTTTTGTTGCTGTTGTGAGGAGCTTTTACAATGGGTTTATAGTGATTTAAACATAAAACAGTACATATAAATTTCTAATAATAATAATAAACTGCAGCATTAACTCCTTTTTTCTGACAGTTTCTGAAACTGTTGGTGAAAAGTTAAGGTTTCTTTTAAAATTAGTAATTCAGTAATTCATTCAGTAATTATAGCTAGTTTTTCCAGTTAAGGCAATTATCCAAGTCTTTTCTGTCTTTTAACGACTTTAAAAGGGTTATACATATTTTCATCTCGACTCAGTTATTGTAATGCCTTCTATGTGGGCATCAGCCACACCTCCCTTATTCGTCTGCAGACGGTGCAGAATACTGCTGCTTGTTTGCTGATGGAGACATGCAAACGGGAGCACATTACACTGTGCTTTGCAGTGGTGGCCCCCAAACTCATAATAATTTGCCTCTCCATATTAGGCAGGCCACAACTATTTCTGTTTTTAAATTTAGTTTTCAAACCCATTTTTACTCTTTGGCTTTTAATACCATACGAGAGCAGTGGCGTAGCGGACAGGCCCGCAGGGCACGCACCGCGGGGTGGGCCCCGCGTGATTAGGGGGCCCCGCGTCGTTGCGATTTTCAATAAACTCTTGGGAACAACTTTGGTCGGAACCAAAGTTCACACGTCTGTGTTCTCTGAACACCTCTCAAGCGGTGGACTACTTCATTCTGATTGCTTGCCGCCAATGTTGCCAACTTAGCGACTGTCATTTGTCCATACTGTAACGTCCCTACTCTTCTTAACGAGCTGCGTGTGATGCCGCCGGCCCCTCCCCCGCCAGCACTGACAGGCGGCTCAGTCAGTCCTCGTACAGCAGCCTCTCCCACCTGCAGCCCGAGAGCAGATCACCCCTCTGCGTACCGCGACAAATGATTTAGCACAGGCAGTGTGAAGGTATTTCCCTTGTACAGTCAAAACAATCTACTTATACTTTATTTTAACAATTTAATTGGACCGTTTTTTCTTTTCTTGTTCACAATCACAGATATTTTAGTGACAGTTTCTGAACTTTTATTACATATGAGAGATTACTGCACATTCACTACACATCTATAATGACATACTGTATTCAAACAGCAATAAATTTAGTTAGTGTAGGTAGTGCAATTATAAATACCCCTTTATTAACCATAGGCTGTTAAACAGAAACGGTAGAACGTGATGACGTCAGTGATATGCAAATTGACGTATGACATATCCCCCCCCCCTTCATCAGGGGGCCCCGTCAGCGATCCCTGCAGGGGGGCCTCCGCATTTTGCACTACGCCACTGTACGAGAGTCATGTGTCTGTTGTATTTGTCCTTTGTTTTAGATGGTGTATGTGTGTAAAGCACTTCGGTAAGGACTTGTTGTTTTTTAAAAAGCGCTTTATAAATAAACATTGACTTGACTTGGAGTACATTCTCTTGAATGTTTCAAGAAATCACTTACTTTTCCTGTTATATTTTAGGCCATTGATTAAATAACAATGTTGTGTGATGAACTGTATTATTTTTATATCCCTTCTTCTTTTATTGTTTTTTGTATAGACTTGGGCCTAAGAAAGGTGCATTATAAATAAAGTGAATTATTTATTATTATTAAAACTTCCGGCTAGGGTGCCTTGCTGAAGAGACGCACTCATTAGCCAAGTTGTAATATATTTTAAATATACAAAAATAATCATAGTTTTATTTACTTCATAACTTGATAAAATTTAATAAATGCAGGGGCGACACGGTGGCGCAGTGGATAGCACTGTTGCCTCACAGCAAGAAGGTCACTGGTTCGAGCCCCGGCTGGGTCAGTTGGCATTTCTGTTTGCATGTTCTCCCCATGTCCACGTGGGTTTCCTCCTGGTGCTCCGGTTTCCTCCACACTCCAAAGACATGCACTATAGGTGAACTGCATAAACAATATTGGTCATAGTGTATGAGTGTTTGTGTGTGTATGGGTGTTTCCCAGTACTGGGCTGGAAGGGCATCTGCTTCGTAAAACATATGCTGGATAAGTTGGTGATTCATTCCGCTGTGGTGATCCCTTATGAATAAAGGGACAAAGTCAAAGCAAAATGAATGAATGAATGAATGACTTTGTTTATGAAGGTACTTTCACAATAGCAAATGCATAACCACACACACAAAACAAGCTGCTACAGCTCAGATGGACAATAGAGAAGGAGGAACTGACTGTGGGAGTTTGGTCTTAATAATGTGTCAAAAACATACCACAAGCATATAGACAAAAAAAAGATGATCTAATCAGAAAATTAAATGTAAGGGCTGAAGGTAGAAAGTTGCTAAAATGATATGAAGACATACTATAGATTTAACTCAGCAGTATGTACGACCAAAGACTGTACAAAACACAAGATGTGTCACTCTTATAGTTTTGAATAGGGCAAAGTGTAATGGTCAACATGGCAAATAAAGCCATGCTTACAAGTAAAGGAGCCCATCACCCATCGATTTAAACTGACGATTCTCCAGGGGAGGGGATCAGACCAGATGTGTGCTTTTACGATTGTTTGGTGGTAAACATACGCACTGGAATCTCCGTGAATACTTGCTTCACAGACATAAGAAATATATCCAGATAAAGCTCGAAATCTGTACTTTTACATGAAGCAAGTGCACTTTAATACAAAAGTTTTTTAGTTTTATAATCTTTATTAAACCAACGCGAGGTACAGTCCGTCCTGTCAAACGCACGTCACATGACAGCAACTACTTAAACGCCCACAAACTTGTAAACAAACAGTCCCTTTCATTACTGGAGGAGATTGGCCATCAAGACAAAGTTGTCGATTATTATAGAAGAGCAGCGCAATCAAACGATCATTTTTCAGAGAATGGTAATGTGTTGAACGATTATAAATGAAGTTGGTTGCGTGATCTTGTTTCTTTCGAGTGTGCATGTGCATTAGCTTAGGCAAGCTGAAAATATGCTAATTTTGTTTGATTCAAACGTTTAGAAATTAAACTTATGAGACAGTTGTTGTTTATTTTTGGTGGTTCCAAATATGTAATTTAATCATAAGCTTGGCAAGCAGTTTTGGGGAATTTGATGTTTCCTCATTCAGACAGATTGCCCGAACATACTGCCTGAAAGGCCTTTCAAAGATGGCCGCTAAGTGAAATGATTTGCTTTAAAGAGACTTTGCTACAACAAAAATTACTGAGAAATTCTGAATTGTTTCTTTCCTTTGGCAGACGATAACTCCATTAGCTGTAGTCTTTGATTTTTGAAATTGACATGTTAGATTCACAAACTTCTACATCTCACACTAAATAAAAGGTAATATCCGAAACTCATAATAGGGGCACTGTAATACCTTTATACATTGTTTTATTCAAATGAATATGGTAATGACTGATTACCATATTCAAATCAAGTACATTTATCCTGATTCTTTTAATCTTGGATTTTAGCACTAAGAGGTTTTCGAGTGTATGCTTAACAACCATAGAGATGGAGATGGTTACTTGAGACACACACACACACCTTTGTTTACAGCAGTACTGTTGCTTTCGCTGATTGTGCTTCCCGGTGAAGACGAGCTGGGGCTTGTGGGTGAACCTTTGACAGGCAGTTTTGAGGAGGCAGTTCTCTGAGGAGCCTTACTGGGAGAGCTGGAGACAGACGGGGGGCTGATGAGTACTGTGGGTCTGTCTGTGCTGCGCATCCTTGGAATACCTACAAGCAAAACAGCATATGATTAAAATGTACAAGCTGTCCTCACTAAAATCAAAGCACATTTTAACTAGACTGGATATAGTTTCATAGATGTTCTATTCAGCTGGCCCTCACTCACATTGTGTTCAATTATTTAATATAGGAAGCATATATAAAACATGCATTCAGCTGTGCTTTACTTGAGTACCTGCACACACAGCATAATGACTCTGCTTTAAAAATAGCTGACTTTTGAGATTTCATGTCAAATATAAGTAGCCTTCAGATATACCTGAGTCTGTCAACAGTTTTAATTTTGTGTACTCATCACCTTTCTTCTCAAGGTTCTAAAACATTTAAAGAGGCTCCGAATACAAGCACTCGATTTTTGTTAGGTCCCCAAAAATGCTGGTATACAACTTGTGTACCATTTGCAGTTATTTATTGAGGTGTTTATGCGTTTTGCTTTTACCAGTTTAAATGTCTCATAAAGTGCTTTGAAATGTGCAATTTTTATTCGATGCTTGACGTAATCTTAACTGAAAACAAAAAGAGGGCGGGACATATAATAGCTCCTCCCCTTTTTAAAAGCAGCCAATAGCGTTTTGTTTTATCAAGTGGTTGAGCTTAAACGCATTAAATAAAAATCAAATGTGAAGCGTATTGCAGGGGGTGGGGCATGTCAGATATAGGGAGCATTTGATTGGTCAAGATTTGATGAGAAACTGAAGTATGAGATGACGTAAAACGTTGATCCATTTAGGTGGAAGTGACAAACTACAAGCTTTACATGTATATATCAGTTTTGTATCTTCATACAATATATTCGTCACTGTTTTGTACCACACTAGCTTATGAATATACTAAGACAATCCTACAGAAATTCGTAACTTTTTGATTAAGTGGCTAATTCGTTTGACCTTATGTGATCTCATACATACAATTAAGTAAGATTTGCTTATCTCCCAATGATGGTTGGGTTAAGGGGCAGGGTTGGGTGCCACACATGTTTTTTAAAATCGTACATTTATGAATGACAGAACTCGTACAAATTAGCGGCTAAACTGACAAAACATAAAATAGTTATGTGTCCTCATACGATCAGGCTGGATATCCTATATTTCTTTTACAGGTAAAATTGCCCACAAACAGAGATTTCACAAACTGCAGAATCCCAAAAATGTAATATGTATGTCTTATCAGTGTTTTAATTTTTGTGATGCATAAAATTACAGTTGAAACTGAAACATAATATAGAAAGGTTTTGATGAATAACAATCTAGAAAATAATTTTTTCAATTATAAATAAAATGAATTTTTTATCAAATTTAAATAAAAAAATGCATCTTTCTGGATAATATAATAATTGTTTTAATTAAAAACACAACAACGACAAGAACTAAATTGTTGAATTAAACATTTAACAGCAATGTAAATAATAATAATAATTGTCATTTGTTCAATAGCTGTCAGTCACAGCATGTGTGATGTTTTCATGTGTTCACAAAAAGTAACTTTTTCTACTACAGTAAATGCATTTTTTGATGCAAGTATTAATTGTATTAATTCCTTTTTTAAAACAACAAAATTGTCGGACCAAAACATTTAACAATAAAATAAAAAAGTATATTTGTAATTTGCTCCTATTTCAATGTCACAAAAACTGCCATGTTTTATCTTAGAAATATCGCTTAGTTACGAAGTATGCTATCCATCTCAGATGCAGAAAAGCTAGTGCATGCTTTTATGACTTCTAGGCTGGATTACTGTAATGCTCTGTTTGCTGGCTGCCCAGCATCCTCTATTAACAAACTTCAGATAGTACAAAATGCAGCAGCCAGAGATCTCACCAGGTCTAGAAAATATGATTTTATCACCCTAATTTTATCCTCCTTATACTGGTGGCCTGTTAAGTGTTGATTTTAAAATATTGCTTCTTATCTATAAAGCTCTAAATAATCTAGCTCCTGTTTATCTAACAAACCTTCAGTCTAGCTACAATCCAACCTGCTCTTTAAGATCTTAAAACTCAGGGCTTTTCGTAGTTCCTCGAACAGCAAAGTCGAGTGAAAGGGGTCGAGCCTTCTCATTTATAGCTCCTAAACTCTGGAATAGTCTTCCTGAAAATGTCAGAGGCTCAGACACACTCTGGCAGTTCAAAACTAGATTAAAGACCTATCTGTTTAGTAAAGCATACACTCAATGCATCACTTGTAGTATGATACATTTCTGCATCTCGTTTATATACACTATGAACAGCAGCTATGCTAATTATTCTCTTTATGCTCTATTTCCACCTGGGGAAAATCAGCCCGAGGCCCTCAGAGACTATGCAGTCAGTGCCACTGATTCGATCCAAGACCAGCGACGAGATGATCCCATGGTTTCCATAATCCTGGACCAGGCCGTATCCTGAGCAGCTGCTGTGGTGGTCATGAAGGAGTGGAGACCGTGAGACTGATTCCTGTTATGCAGACGAATCTCGCTGACGTCCAGCTTCTCCTGCGCCTAGACTGCAGCTCTGCACAAGACGTTTGGCCATAGGAGAAATGGTCATGCCCAAATGAGCCTGGTTTCTCAGGAGGTTTTTTAATTTTTCACTTTCGCCAACTGGTGAAGCTTTTTCCTCACCGCAGTCACCACTGGCTTGCATGGTTCGGGATCTGTAGAGCTGCGCATCGATGGATTTGCTCTTCAGTGGTTGGATTCTCAGCAGTGAATATTAAACCACAGCGAACTGAGCTACACTGAACTAAACTTAAACACCGAAAACTGGACTGACACTGTTTCATTTTACTATGATCTTCTATGTGAAGCTGCTTTGACACAATCTACATTGTAAAAGTGCTATACAAATAAAGGTGAATTTAATTGAATTCAATTGAATTTGTTTAATAGCTCCCCGTGTTTACATGGGTTTCCTCTGGGTGCTCCAGTTTCTCCCACAGTCTAAAGACATGTGATATAGGTGAATTAAATAAACCAAAAAATTGTGTGTGTATGTGTGAATGAGTGTGTATGGGTGTTTCCCAGTGCTGAGTTGCAGATGGAAGGGCATCCGCTGTGTAAAACATGTGCTGGATAAGTTGCCAGTTCATTACACTGTGGAGATCTCTGATGATTAAAGGGACTAAGCTGAAGGAAATTTAATGAATGAATGTATTTGTTTAAATAGTTAGTCTCGGCATGCGTGATGTTTTCCTGCCGCATTAAAAGAAGCAATTATTTTCCCATTAAATGTAACTTCCCTCTCTTAATTGAATGCTAAATATTTTTATAGAAGACGTCAGATTTCTGGGAAGTTGCGTTGGTGCTGGTGTTTTTTGTAAATCTTGCTATGTTTCCTATATCCTGTTCCGATTTCTCAACTCCTGATCATTTCCCTTGTGGAAGAGCACTTGTTGGATTCCAACAAACAGAAGCTCTGCATGTTTTTGTGAATTAAAGGAGGAGAGAAAAAAAAACAGCTCACACAAGAACATCCTGTACATCGTGTAAGGTCTACTGGGGCACTGCTATGGAGACCAACCATCACAAACACACATGATACCAGTCTGCTGGTGTATATACACATGTAGGCATCAGTCTTTTGGTCTGCTGCAGATACATTTCTACACAGTCTGGTGCAGAAATCTCTCTCTGAATGCCTCCTCTCTCTTATGATTTTGAAACAAGTGTTTAAATTGCATCAAATTCAGCAGCAGTGGTTAATAAGTGGGATACATGCCATCTGTTGGGGAAAACATGGTACTGCATTTGCTTGTTCAGCTTTAATGATTGATCACTCGTGGTTATCTAGCTAAAACTAAGATTAGGGAAAAGCAAACAAACACAAATAGTTCTCTGACGCAAGTGGTTGTGTAGCTGGATAAGCATTATCAATCACAATCAAAATCACATGGCATTTCCCTGGAAATATATATATACAGTTGAAGTCAGAATAATTAGCCCTCCTTAATATTTTCCACAATTTCTATTTAACGGAGAATTTTTTTCAACACATTTCTAAAGACAATAGTTTTAATGACTCATTTCTGATAACTGATTTATTTTATCTTTGCCATAATGACAGTAAACAGTATTTGATTAGATGTTTTTTAAGACACTTCTATACAGCTCAAAGTGACATTTAAAGGTTTAACTAGGTTAATTAAGTTTAATTAAGTTAAAACTGCTTTTAATCTAGCCAAAATAAAACAAATAAGTCTTTCTCCAGAAGAAAAAATACTATTAGAGATACTATGAAAATTGCCTTGCTCTGTTAAACATCACTTGGGAAATATTTAAAAAAGAAGAAAAAAAAACTCAATGGGGGCAAATACTTCTGACTTCAACTGTATATATATATATATATATATATATATAATTAATAGATTTATTTAGAGTATTTAAATGATACATGTCAGTTATTTCATTAGTTATTTTATTCAAATTTTATACTACATTCGTAATATAGACACTGATAAATAATTCTGCACTTTTGAAAGGTATTTATGAATTCCAGCCCCTAATTTATAAGTACACATTACTTATAATTTAATATACCCCAACAATATAGCAGGTATTAACTTTCTTGTGGTATGGAATTGATCACATATGATCTAAACAGGTCAATAATAACTTAAATAATTTTAAATATTAATGTTATTACTTGAAAGATGTAAATAAACATTGAGTATGAGGCTTTGAACAGTGATTTTTGCGTTCAAAATTTTTCCACATAAAAATAAACATATTTTGAAAAAATTGTGCAAATTAATTAAATAAATTATAATGTTTAAAAATATTTTGATGAAATCCTTATGTCCTTAACTAATATTATCAAATTATGTATATATTACTTGTAAACAACAATCTTGCATTTCATACAAAAAATAATAATAATTGCAATTAATTATGTACAGATATTTTTTGCATTTACCATTACTGCATTTATATTTGCTGTTCTGTTTAATTTTCTAGTAATTAAATAATCCTAAAAAAAAGTAATAATATTAAGCAAATTATATAAAAAAAATATT